ATGACATGACTTATTTCATTACTATTTGCTGCTTTTGTTTTTGCTGAAACAAAAAATACAAGCATACCTGCTCAGCAGGCATCTCTGCGGCATGCTCTAATTGAAGGTACACCTTAGAAAATGGGAATATAAAGTCTTCTACAAGTTCCTGGAAAGCAAAATACATTTCTATTAATAAATTGGTACTCCTCAAACTGATTCAGTAACAAATAAATACATCCATCCAAAAATGGTTTCCACTGGGAAAGATGTTCACTGTGTAGAAAAAAAATTCATTTCAAAACTAACATTACAAATGAAACTGCACTTACCCTAATGAGAAAAATTCCTTTGGAAGGATCACCACCAATTTCATATTTCTTCTCAGGAGGGAGGAAGGCTACAAGCTCCCTAGTTACACAGAGATGGCCTTCCAACAAAGTTTCATCTACTGGGGGCTCTGGTCCACCTTGGGCCATCTGAGCTACACTGGCTCTGACATTCTTCAACCACTCCACCTCCGTGGTTAGTAGGCGGTCAACGCCTGTTACAGTCACACTCGATACACACGCCCAGTTTAGTAATCCACACAACAGCTAGAATAGAAAGATGAAAAAAAATATAAAATGCTGACAAAAACAATAATGATGATAAAATGTATATACCAGAGAGAGAGAGAGAGAGAGAGAGAGAGAGAGAGAGAGAGAGAGAGAGAGAGAGAGAGAGAGAGAGAGAGAGAGAGAGAGAGAGAGGGAGGAAGGGAGAGGGAATGGGGTGGGTGGGGGAGAGGGGGAGGGGGAGGGGGAGGGGGAGGGAGAGGGGGAGGGGGAGGGGGAGGGGGAGGGGGAGAGAGAGAGAGAGAGAGAGAGAGAGAGAGAGAGAGAGAGAGAGAGAGAGAGAGAGAGAGAGAGAGAGAGAGAGAGAGAGAGAGACAGACCTGACCTTAACTATTTACACCATTGCTTGAATTCTTTTTAAAATGATGACCATAAAATAAAATAAACATTAATATCAATAATAAATTGTTATTGGCAATACAAGAATGACAATAAAAATGGTAATGCTGATGATAATATGAAAAAAGTAATACCAACAGTAGCAATAATAACAATATTTAAAAAATAATAATATTGAGAATTCAAAAAATGGGTTAACCTCTTACTGCTGAGCTCTGCTGCCTATAGCCATCATAACAAACCGACTCATCATGACGGCTATAGGTGTCACATCATGCCAGAGTGAGTCAAGCGGAAAATTCCGATACACAGCAGACTCGCAGGCCAAACAGCAAGATGGTTGCCAGAAGTCACCGGTGTCAGTGAATTCAGATACCATCATGGAGGGGTTAAGCAATTGAGGTTGGGTAAGCTAGTAATTGACTATTTGGTGATTAAGCACTTGTGGAGCCATCTAAGTGAAAAAGTAAAAATTTTGCCCCTGAGCCAAGCAAACAAGGCCATATAGGAGATTTACTGGTGAATGGGGGATAGCAAGTCACCTATAAACAGCTGGGAATGCTATGACTGTTTCACAAGAGGTTTCACCAGGGTATTCCACATTTATGTTCTAACAGTGTTTTATGGCTCTCACATTTTTTTTACTGTACAAGTATTTCAAGATAACAATCCAGGCAACAAGGAGATAAAGAAGGCTGCAGTCTGGGTTTCCAAACAGGTAAATGAAATTATTCTCATAGAATCATGACCGAAAGGATGGGAAATGCTGGTTCTATTGGTTGGAGATTAGAAGCAACACAATACTCCAATGAGTCTTATGACAATACAGCACAAAGCCAAAGTGCTTTAAGAAGGAAATGAAAAATAACAAAAAAACTGACTGTACATCAAAGCTTTTCTACAATGTGGATGCAGCACTTGATATCATCAATGATGCTGCCCTATACAGGGATTGTTCTAAAATTACATGAGATGTCAGAGAATATTTTCACGTTATTTTTGCAGTGTCAGTGGAAGTGGAAGGACAAGGAATCCCCTACCTTGGCCCTTCCAGCTCAGTGTCTCTGTGAACAGCCACCTATACTTCCCTCCCTCCACCAAGATTTTCTCTAATGCATGAGCTTGGTATATCTGTCTTGAATTATTGTGTGTGATATTCTACACAACTATGATTTATTTAAAGGGCTTTTATTCTACTAAATTCAATTATTTTCAGTCATGAATCTGGGTAGAGGTAGGGAACACAACTTTTTTTCTTAAGGGAATAATTGTCTCATTTATGTTATTTCACTTGATGATATGGATTCAGGAACAGAGCTCTACCATAAACCAAGAACTACCTCTACTTTATTTCTTTATCTATATGTATTGTATGTATAAATATTAATCACAATATTTTTCTTTCCTACAAAACTTGTTTTATTGGCATACTAGTATCACAAATATTCTGCATTTTACATATGCCTTGATAGTATAGAAGCTCTATTATGAAATAAAATTGACATGGTACTATTGAAAATTACGTTTGTAAAAATGAATCATGCCACCAGGTATTTTTATTATTTTGACACACTACCTGACAAATTACATGAGAGAATAAAGCTGGTGGATGTGTCTCACATTAAATCAAAAGCACTATGAAAAGTAATTCTTATGTTGAACTTTGATCAATTTCCTGAGGAAACTACTTCCAAATACAGACCAACTGATTCTTATATATTACTGGTAGTCTGGAAGAAAAAGCTAGGTTCAAGCAAAATTATAGAAACAATAAATTATCTACTCAAAAATAAAACCTATCATATATAAATGTAAATACATAATGGAAATTAAACTATATACCGTTATACTTAGGTAAGAGGACACTTTATACAAACCTGAAAATATTCTTTCGAGTACTCGCTATTGAGGCCATTGAGAACATTGAACAGCATGACGATAAAGACGACGAGGGTGTGGGGCGAGTTCGAGCATTTTGTAGCCATAAGCAAGAGCTGCTCCACTGCACATTGCCGTATGCTTCGCTCACCGCCTACTAACACCAACCCCATCACAAGTTTGTGGAACTGGGTGTCCTTGGTCAAGGTTTCAAGAGCAGGGGGATAAAGGGCTAGAACTACTGACAGTGTTTCCAGACCCTCACGGCACACTGAAAATAGGAGGGTAAGATAAAGGCACAATTCAAAATAAACTATCAATAGCTACTTTTCTTGTTTCCAAAAAACAAAGAGCTTCATGTAATACATTTAAAAGGATACTACAATAGAAATGCAAGTACATACATTACACATGAGCCCTTCCACCCACTCAACATTTTACACAATCTAAAAGCATGATTTAATAATTTAGCTCTTACAACTCAAATCCTGTATCTATCATTCTCTCTTAACATCTGAAATCAATATAAAACAATAATCTCCAATCTTTACATACCACATAGGTCCTCTGGATCTGGGGGTTTTGTGGGCGGTCTCTCTGCTGCCTTTTCAATCTCATCAAGAGACGATGTGATAAGATGGCCCTGGCCAGCTGCTGAAGCCCAGGTAATTTTGAGAATAGCTCTGACCACACTCATGTCAGGGACCACACCAGTTATCTGTTCAAAAAAGTTATTTCATAATGAGCTTTTCATTTTCAGCTTAACCCAACACTGCCAGGTGAAGTAAATAAATAAAAATGGCTAATGGCCGAACTTCCTGCTCCAAGCGTTTTGGCATGTTGCTGCAACGTACAGCCATACTCCACAGACCAAGCGGTTTGTTATAACACCGCTAGGTGTGGCCAGGCAATATTGGGTTAAGGGAATATAGAAAAGCCCTGATCAATGTGATGTGGAAGTCTTTGTTATGAAAAATATTGGTTGGTAGGTGGAAACGGGAATCATAAAAAAAATTGCCCGTGGGAAAATTGCTATTGACTGCTGCATGAAGGTAATGTCTCATCATGGTCAGTATTCAAGGAAGCCTAACACCCTGATTTTGGTCCTTGCATGAAACACAAGGTACCCAGATCCAACAGGATAATAAATCTAATAAGTAGATAAATTTAATCTAATAAGTAGTTTGATGGAAGTGCAGTGACTTAGCTACTGACTGGCTAAAGCTGTTTTTATGCCTGGTGCAGAATCAACTGCTATTTCCTCCAATTTTTAATCAACTTTCTATTATGGTAAATCAAAGATTGTGCTAGAAGAGGCTGAGGTGCAACAGATAAAGTTTCAAGTGGAAATCTACCAGCCTCAACCAGAAAATCTGGAAGCTCTTGCAAATAAACAACAACAATGACAATAAAAGACAGAAAAGGGAGATAATGATTAAGATAATACAATAGTAGGAGAGAAAAAGTTGTATTAAGCAATGATAAGGGATCATACAAACAGAAGGTTGCTGAAGCAATAAGCAAAGGAATAGATGAAAGTCCCTATTTACATCAAAATTCCCTAAGCTTTTCTCTATATCTGAAATAATTATGTGATGGGTATGGAAAAGGCTTTTCTTTTGATTAAACCTATTTAAATCTATCAAACCAAAAAGTTAATTACAGGAAAAAGGAAAAGGAAAAGGAAAAGGGGGGGAAGGGGGAGGGAGGGAGAGAGAGGGAGGGAGGGAGGGAGGGAGGGAGGGAGGGAGGGAGAGGGAGAGAGAGAGAGAGAGAGGGAGGGAGGGAGGTAGGGAGAGAGAGAGAGAGAGAGAGAGAGAGAGAGAGAGAGAGAGAGAGAGAGAGAGAGAGAGAGAGAGAGAGAGAGAGAGAGAGAGAGAGAGAGGGGGGGGGGGGGGATCTTTATGTATATAATACTACATTTTACTTAATATTCCAAACAATCTATCAGAAAGCTAAAGCAAAATTAATATAAATTAAAGTTGTAAGCAAAATTGAATAACTTATAGCATGCATGCTATTCATTAATCAATATTGAACACTTTTATATTGTTATCTCATCAACCCTTTGCTGCCAGGCAGCATATACATGCATACCATGTCGTGCCTGGATTATATTCCAGGTGGCATGTGTATACACATGCCATGGTGCGCCTGTCACATTTTTCGGGGGTATGTACGACACAATCTCCCAGCAGCGAGGCATGGGCCACTATAAATACAGCTCAGGGGAAGAGGGCTTTCAAAATGGGAAACCACCCGGTGGCAGTGGGTTAATCCAGTGAAAACCAAATATTCTAAATCTTTGTGTATTATACTAATTAAGATGTATAGATGAAGAACAGACTAAAGGGAGACAGATCTAAGAGCAAAGAATTACTTGGGTTATAGATCATAAATATTAATTCAACTTCTGAGAATAAGTAGCTTGGCATTCACTAAAATTAAATTTAATCTTAATCAATAATTATTTTGTTATGCCATTAATGTCCATAGTGTTTCTTTGTTTACTGAATGTCTTTACACATAGATAGCTCCAGAAGCATTTAATCACCAAGGAGTCAATTGCTAGTCCAACCTATATCACCTGTTTATGCTTTTCATTGATTTTTGGAAATGTTATTTTATTCCCATCAGTATTGTTAATACCATTATAACAATAATAATATAATAATGGCATTAACAATTACATCATCAATATTACTAGCTTCATATAATTTTTTTTCTCTGAAACCTCAAGAGAGAGCAAATCAACTGAGGTCATGCATGTACACAAATTAGCTCCTTGGTGGCTGGGCACAAAAAAAGACTACAGGCAACAAGATATTTACTCAGCAGCAATGGGCAATTATGATTGACTGAATAATTTTTCCTAAGTATTGATGGTCTTTCTTTTCCACAAGCTTTCAATAACATTCAATAAATACTTCTTCATTTCAATTCTTGACACTACTCTGGAGTAAAGCTCACTTCTTATTTGTTTGTCTAAGAGTGTATAAGGCTAAGTCTCCCCCCCCCTCCCAAGAAAGCTTTCTATGACTTTTATTCTTTAATATAATATGAGCTTCATCACATTAGTACGAATGCTACAAGCCCTATAGTCCTGTCATTACCATCAATTAAGTAACTCATCAAGGCATTTTTCCAAATAACCTCTTCATTATAAAATATGCTAATTATTCAATCAACTTCCTCTGGTAATTAGTAGGAAAAACAAAAATTAAAAGTCTGAGGTTAGTTAATACAATCATCACACATACAATATTCCCTGTGATCTTACAAAGTGCGCCCAGAGACATGATGTGATAGTGACCTGGTCGTGAAGCGATTGCGCCAGACGTGATGCCACATTCCGCACCATGCAGTCTGAGGCTGGGTTGGGGATGTGATGCAGTGCTTCTTGGAGCACTAAAGCTTGTGTGTGCGTGGATGCTGCCAAACTTACAGCACCTGTTGAGGGGAGAAATTTAAACTTAATGAGATAATAGAAAATTAATTCTCTCTCTCTCTCTCTCTCTCTGTATATATACATACATATATAATATATGTATACATATATATATATATATATATATCTATACATCTATATATACATCTATAGATATGGGTGTGTGGGTAGATGGATGGGTGGGTAGGTGTGTGGGTGGGTAGGTGTGTGGGTGGGTAGGTGTGTGGGTGGGTAGGTGTGTGGGTGGGTAGGTGTGTGGGTGGGTAGGTGTGTGGGTGGGTAGGTGTGTGGGTGGGTAGGTGTGTGGGTGGGTAGGTGTGTGGGTGGGTAGGTGTGTGGGTGGGTAGGTGTGTGGGTGGGTAGGTGTGTGGGTGGGTAGGTGTGTGGGTGGGTAGGTGTGTGGGTGGGTAGGTGTGTGGGTGGGTAGGTGTGTGGGTGGGTAGGTGTGTGGGTGGGTAGGTGTGTGGGTGGGTAGGTGTGTGGGTGGGTAGGTGTGTGGGTGGGTAGGTGTGTGGGTGGGTAGGTGTGTGGGTGGGTAGGTGTGTGGGTGGGTAGGTGTGTGGGTGGGTAGGTGTGTGGGTGGGTAGGTGTGTGGGTGGGTAGGTGTGTGGGTGGGTAGGTGTGTGGGTGGGTAGGTGTGTGGGTGGGTAGGTGTGTGGGTGGGTAGGTGTGTGGGTGGGTAGGTGTGTGGGTGGGTAGGTGTGTGGGTGGGTAGGTGTGTGGGTGGGTAGGTGTGTGGGTGGGTAGGTGTGTGGGTGGGTAGGTGTGTGGGTGGGTAGGTGTGTGGGTGGGTAGGTGTGTGGGTGGGTAGGTGTGTGGGTGGGTAGGTGTGTGGGTGGGTAGGTGTGTGGGTGGGTAGGTGTGTGGGTGGGTAGGTGTGTGGGTGGGTAGGTGTGTGGGTGGGTAGGTGTGTGGGTGGGTAGGTGTGTGGGTGGGTAGGTGTGTGGGTGGGTAGGTGTGTGGGTGGGTAGGTGTGTGGGTGGGTAGGTGTGTGGGTGGGTAGGTGTGTGGGTGGGTAGGTGTGTGGGTGGGTAGGTGTGTGGGTGGGTAGGTGTGTGGGTGGGTAGGTGTGTGGGTGGGTAGGTGTGTGGGTGGGTAGGTGTGTGGGTGGGTAGGTGTGTGGGTGGGTAGGTGTGTGGGTGGGTAGGTGTGTGGGTGGGTAGGTGTGTGGGTGGGTAGGTGTGTGGGTGGGTAGGTGTGTGGGTGGGTAGGTGTGTGGGTGGGTAGGTGTGTGGGTGGGTAGGTGTGTGGGTGGGTAGGTGTGTGGGTGGGTAGGTGTGTGGGTGGGTAGGTGTGTGGGTGGGTAGGTGTGTGGGTGGGTAGGTGTGTGGGTGGGTAGGTGTGTGGGTGGGTAGGTGTGTGGGTGGGTAGGTGTGTGGGTGGGTAGGTGTGTGGGTGGGTAGGTGTGTGGGTGGGTAGGTGTGTGGGTGGGTAGGTGTGTGGGTGGGTAGGTGTGTGGGTGGGTAGGTGTGTGGGTGGGTAGGTGTGTGGGTGGGTAGGTGTGTGGGTGGGTAGGTGTGTGGGTGGGTAGGTGTGTGGGTGGGTAGGTGTGTGGGTGGGTAGGTGTGTGGGTGGGTAGGTGTGTGGGTGGGTAGGTGTGTGGGTGGGTAGGTGTGTGGGTGGGTAGGTGTGTGGGTGGGTAGGTGTGTGGGTGGGTAGGTGTGTGGGTGGGTAGGTGTGTGGGTGGGTAGGTGTGTGGGTGGGTAGGTGTGTGGGTGGGTAGGTGTGTGGGTGGGTAGGTGTGTGGGTGGGTAGGTGTGTGGGTGGGTAGGTGTGTGGGTGGGTAGGTGTGTGGGTGGGTAGGTGTGTGGGTGGGTAGGTGTGTGGGTGGGTAGGTGTGTGGGTGGGTAGGTGTGTGGGTGGGTAGGTGTGTGGGTGGGTAGGTGTGTGGGTGGGTAGGTGTGTGGGTGGGTAGGTGTGTGGGTGGGTAGGTGTGTGGGTGGGTAGGTGTGTGGGTGGGTAGGTGTGTGGGTGGGTAGGTGTGTGGGTGGGTAGGTGTGTGGGTGGGTAGGTGTGTGGGTGGGTAGGTGTGTGGGTGGGTAGGTGTGTGGGTGGGTAGGTGTGTGGGTGGGTAGGTGTGTGGGTGGGTAGGTGTGTGGGTGGGTAGGTGTGTGGGTGGGTAGGTGTGTGGGTGGGTAGGTGTGTGGGGGTGGATTGGGAGGTGGATGGGTGAAGTGGGTGGGTAAGTGCATGGTAAGGTGCGTAGGTGGATGGTTATGTAGGTAGGTGTGTGGTTCGATGGATGGATGGGTAGGTGTGTGAGTTTGTGAGAGGGTCAATAGGTGTATGGATGGATGTATGGGTGTGTGGGTAGATGGATGGGTGGGTAGGTGTGTGGGTGGGTAGGTGTGTGGGTGGGTAGGTGTGTGGGTGGGTAGGTGTGTGGGTGGGTAGGTGTGTGGGTGGGTTGGTGTGTGGGTGAATGAGTGTGGTGCGGGGGGTAAGTGTCTACTATTTGTTAATGCATTTAACTCTTAACTGCATAAGTTTTCTCTGCATGTGTCTATCTTCAGGCATTTAATCTGAAAGCTAACGTTTACAGCAAAGAAATCTTACCTTTTGGTGGGCATATCTGTGTTTGAAAGGAAGTTGTTTTTGGACAGCATATCAATGATAAGCTTTACTCCTCCACTTTTCATGAAATTGTACTGGAATTCATGTGCCTTTTCTGACATAGGGTTATGTGCAGGCATGAGGAGAGAGTATAAAACCTGCAGAAGGAAAGGAAAAAAGTTTAATGTGAATAACCTTATTTTGAAACATTTCTTTACAAGCAAAGAAATTAGAAAATTTAGTGAAAAAAAAAAATAAATAAATAAAAATAAGAATGGTGTTTACAGCAGAACAACTAAAAACAGTTAGTGTATCTAGTGTTGACTAGCTGAATGCAATAATTCTATATTACAAATAATAATTAGCATTAAACTTCCAATGACTAAATTATCATCAACTAGTCAACTATTATCAATTCTTACACAACCTGTCAAGTACATTTCCACCTCAGTTAAAAAACTGAATATATCCCCATATCTCTTCTATTATCCTATAACACACATTTACCAAAATCTTCTAGTCAAGTTCTTACCTGCAAGTTATAGAGGACTTGTGATGGAGATGGTGAAAATACAATACTTTCTAAAGAAGGAGACATGTTCTGGTCTCCAATCTTTGCATGCTCCATACACAGAGTTCGTAAATTGTTAACTGTAAAAGGAGAAAGCAATCTTTAGGAGTCTGGAACTTTTCAAGGACTAACTAAATGAAATACTAAAATATAATAATGGTTTTTACTAAACAAAATCTTCAAAACCCACCTGTGTACTGGTCTGCCGGCATTATTTCAAGAAGAGCACGTGCACTATCTCTCAACTGTGGTAGTTGTAAAGTGCAGCCCAAGTCCGCTAATTGCAGGAGGAATTGTGTATACTTTCCTTGACCTGACATTATCTGTATAGAATATAAACATACATACATAAAAATATATCAACTTTAGGGACCGCGGGATTGTTCACATGAAGGAGAATTTAGTTTAAAATCAAAATTGCATATCACATTCATAATCCATTTTCCCAAATACAAAAATTAGTTGTAGTATATTAACAGTTATCATCTTAATTATTTAATCACCATCACCACCATCATATGACTAGCAATTAAATCAGCACCAATAACAAGAGTGAACACAACGGAAAAAGAATAAAGCTTACAACACCAGGAAGACAATTTTCTGCATCAACGTTAGGTCCCTCATACGGGTGTTGTGGGGAACCTGTTGAAGAATCGGAGGAACTGTCTGGGGATGATGGCATGTTACTTCCGACTTGGACTAGCTTAGCTGTCAATACCTGGAGAGAGAGAGAGAGAGAGAGAGAGAGGGGGGGGGGAGGGATAAAAGGTTTAGTTTCCATTAAATAAGCTTTGCTACATTGTAAACTGATGCACTTAAATTTTGAAGAAAAGAAATAACCAAACCTGGAAAAAAAAATTATTGACCATTTTCTATAATGAATTCAAATCAAGGTCTTTTACTTTTTCCATCATTAAAGATAACAGATACATGCAAAATAATGGGACTGATACATCCACACAAATGACGCATAATAACCATTTTATCTCTAAGAGGCATATGTGCTATAATCTTCTTGTCATCAACTGGATCTATGGGGTCGGTGTTCAGGTAGAGTTCGACTTTTACATTTGGAGCTGTTGACTTCAGACGGTGCAAAACCTAAAAGATGATAAACAGTTATGTCAATGGGTGGCTGAAATATTATTACAAAACTATTTCACCCCCCAAAAAAAATCTAAAACATTTCCAAAAATAAATACATGATAGATTCATAAAAACTACAAACCCATTTTACCTGTCTTCTGATGGCTCCCATAGTATCATTAGTATGAGTCCAAACATCCAGTTCATCTGGTTGCCGACCCTGCACAGGGAATCGTACCAAGAGCGACAAATGCTTGCCCCTTGAGGATCTATGAAAAAAAAAAAATTGCTCTTAATTCAATACTCAATCATCATTAAACATGAACTTTTAAGAAGTAAAATAATAACAAGAATACTTCAAACTTTGACTTTCATCATCTTTACACACATGTTTGTTTGCCACATACAAATAAAAAATAATAACAATAATGAAATCCTTATATTCTAAAGAAAATTGCTAACCTTCCAAGTGGCAAAATCGAGCGATCATCTCCAAAATCACCATCACATTCTGACACATATTCATATAAAACTTTAAGGACACGACACATTCTTGTAGTCTCTTGCCTAATTCTGTTAACCGAGTCTTTATCCCGATCTAACACTGATACAGTGTCATACATTGCCTGAAAAGTACAGAGGACAGAAATGAATACAGAAACAAAAATCAAATTCAAAAATGCAAATACTTGCTGTCATAAGTAGAAAACATTTGTTACTACAGCAAAACAGTCTCACCTTTAGCCGGGACATACAACTAGACAAAAAGTCATCATGAATAATGACTTGACTTGCTTGGAGTCTTGGTCCTAGATTAGTGAATGTCTCTCGCAGAAGTTCAATGGCACGGCTAGCAATATCTTCAGTTCCACAGAGTACAACCTGTTGTCATAGAGATAATACTGTCATGATACCAAATCTATGAAAAAGACAACTTCAACTCTAAATGACCTCCAATTGAAAAAAAATCCTACATTGTGTGTAATTAAATACCCTCGACCCAAGTTTCTATATTTTGTAAACATAGAATAACAACATAAAATTTATTAGTAAAATACTCACCCTCCAAACATAATCAACACCAATTAGATCAACATCATCCATGAGGTATACACGTTTCTTCAAAACCAGCTTGCCCTCTTTTGAATTAACAGCCTTGAAAAATCTATCAAAGCACCTGTAGAGAAGACAAGTAAATATGGTATCAGCACTAAGATACTGGTAAATGTAAGACTATTTTTCTGAGAAAGCTGATAAGAGAAAATAGAGAGAAATAATTCTCCCATTTATTGCACTACATGTATATATCAAATAACAATACTATTGCCATATACCTCATCATAAAAATTCTCTAAATCTATTAAATATTTTTCTTTATAATTCTACTAACCAACTTATTACTAAAACAAAACAAAAAAATACTTACTTCATGCCATTTTCAGTCAACAGTGATGGATCCAGAAGCAATATATTGTTTTCAAAGAAATCTTTATTAATCTCTGGATCAAGATCTGGTTCATCGCCCATTAACTTTGAAAACCACTTAAAGCACGATTCTCTGTCAACAGTGAAGACAGCATTTTCTGCCAAGCAGTTCCATATCTGTTTGGCCTGAGGTGCACACAGCCATAACTGACCATCCTTGGAAAAGAAATAAATTACTCAATAATGGGAAAAGAATTATGCTTAAGAAATCAAATGGAAGTTAATTCACAACAATGATAGGTGATGCCCGAACAACATGAGTGTGAGCTTTATGGTCAGTTCAGGTTTAGATGTCATCATGTACCAAGGTGAATTATTTTAATTCATCATAGCTTTGAGTGCATTTAGAGCTCCTATAGGTCTAGGGCTGGGTATATCAAAATTACCATCAAAAAGGCTATTAATATCATACAACTGAAAATAGTAAATATTATCTCCAAATAATTCTAATAATCTTGGTGTGCTTTTATCCGACACTAATTACATGAACTGACCACTGTACTGTATTTGGTTTGCACATAGATGGCAAAGAATAAGTGACAAATTATTCAATCTTTTATTTTTTTAATACTACTGTTGTTCTAGCTGCTAGCTACCTTGAATGTGATTGATATTCTCCTATTTAGCTACTCCAGTATTTTAACCATAAACATTTAGAGACAAAAGAAAAAATAATTTTGTACTTTAAATGATTATTACTAACCTTTAACAGAAACCTGAGAAAATTTAGCCGCTCCTGAACTTGACAAATGTGGTTGTATCGGCCATCCGGAATTATTTCTGCTGGATTCAGGTCTGGATTTTCTGCAATGGTAAATAATTACAGTAACTTGAACCTTACTGACAGAAAGAAATCCTACAGAGAATAGATGACAACTGAGGAAGAGAAAATAAACTGACCACCACCACCTACAATCAAATCCCATGGCCATCACCCTAATGAACTTACCCTTGGCAGCTAGTCTAATATTCTTCATGTAAGTTGTGAGATTATCTGCCACAAGGACCACGAGTGAGTGCTGATTCTGTAGCTTGGATATAACATCGTGACGGTAGCTGACATGTGGAGTTGGGCGCTGGTGTTGTGAGAAGTTAGGTGGAGCCTCACTGTACGAACAACATATCTCTCGTATTTGTTTCAGTGCTGGGAGGACCCACTTGTCATGCTTGAGTTCCTCCACACATCTGTCAAGCCAGTGCTTTTTCTGGGTGTCTCGATCCTTGAAAGGAATGGATATATAAATATAGGGTTATTTGTGATTAAAACATTGAGTAACATACACCAAGCAGTATGTTATGATGCCTGTACGCATGACCCATTAGGAACAGGTTAATTTTCATCTATAAAACATTTCTAAATATTAAAAACACTAATCATGCAGAGGGTTCATGACCATCTAAACTTCAGAACAGATATGAAATTTAAACATCATACTGTAATTGTTTTTTTTTTTTTTAACTTACCTGTGAGCATGAATAATCTAAAATCTTTACATGAGCATTGAGAGCCTGGTCCATTATTTCTGTTGGAACATCATCTGAATGTGCTAAGGACCACAGCAGAGTTAATACCTGAAATTGGAGAGGAGAAAAATAATCATATAATTGATAAATATGTACATAGATACAGGGAATAAAGCATTAGATAATCATTATCCACGGTACAAATTCTGCTTATACTGTCACCATTTACCTGATTTAGTTAAACATATAAACATGTAAATACCGGGTGCATAAGTAACCACATGTGTCTACATCTAGATACACAAATATACATCTATGTACATACATACAAATACACAAGTCTAGATGCACACATGAACACACTAACACAAGTTAATAAATGAATCCATTAATATAGATTATATATTCTTTAACATTTATATATTCTTTAACATTGGTATTATAATTACACATTATAATACCAATGACATTTGAAAAAGACATTACAATTACCTTGTGTGCCATGACACCATCCTTGTCATCTTCTGCTAGTCTTCGGATTAATTCTAAAAGTTTCTCACGTTGTTTTTTACTAGCTTGACTCCAGCTTGTCTGTAGATAACAAAAGAAAACAAATGTTAATAATTGTCCTAATAATGAAGAGGGAATTATATACACAAACGCAAGAAATGTATTTTTGTTCTTTCAGATTTCAAAAATACACGATAAAGAAAAATTACATATAGTAAAATTAATAATTAATATACACCACACTTACCTGGAAGCATCCAAAAAGGTGATCAAGTTGTTCTGGGGAAAAATCCCAAGCAAGTTTGGCCAAGAGATCATGCACATTTTTCACAATGGCCTCATGTTTCCCATGCTGTGCTGCCCAGATATCATCTAGATCTTCTAGGGTCAAAGCCTAAAAGAAAGGAAATATCTTATCAACTTGCCTTGTCACAAAATTTGATTTCAATTTCTTTAAATCTGCTGGTTTTGAATCAAAATACATTGATAACATTTCTGAAAATCTAATTATTACATATTTTTCTTGAATACATATATCAATTACTCACTCCCTTATTTTCAAATAAGTTATTGGTCAAAATGCATTATAATGATTCCGTATACATATAATTCATAATAATTTGATGAACCCCAATTTTGACCTCTGGGAGAATCCTTCTATGGTTAAATACTTACCTTCTCCTTGATGATAAAGCGAATGATCTTCTCTAATTTCTCTACATACTGAGGCTGATGGAGTGAATCACGCAATACAATCTGCAGCACGCGATTCTCCTTGATCCATTCCTGAAATAAGAGTAAGTAAAATCCCCTAAACACTTCTGCAAGCAACAATATGAAAACCATGTAACCAATAATATGAAAACAGAGAGAACCCCTAGTCAAGCAATAAAGAAAATGCATTCCAAAGTGAAACTCACTGCCATGCGCTCTGCTGTCAGCCATTCCTCTTCCTCAAAAGGTCCATGACGGTGGGAGTAATAGGACACATTGGTAATCACTTTGTTTACTTCATTCAGAGCATTCATCTTCCCATTAAAGGATGATATTTGCAATAACCTGTAATAAAAATAATGATTAATCAACTTCTTGTAAAAATAAATCAACAACATAATAGCCTGCAAACTACTGCTACTTTTTACTATCAATGCTTTAAATGGCATGAAATCTTCCTAGTCACAAAATAACTGAAAGAGACTGGTTACATTCCACTACTTTCGAAGATGCTTGTCTATGTACAAGAGATTCTCTATTTGATGAAAATATTTCATATGGCACAGTACTTGTGAGTATGCTTACCTGAGTATCATTTTCAACCTAAATATTTCCAAGTTCTTGGCCGTCTCCTCCTGACTGGGCACTCGGGACACCAGGCACTTAATGGCTTTGATAATTGCTGACAGTGCATCGTTCTTGGCCTCATTCTTGGCTTCTTTCTTCAATTCATCATCAGTGAGGTTTTCTAAGAAGGCAGGGACTACCTCCTAATAAAAAATGAAGAGTAGATTCCATTACTGAAAGTCTTTCCCATTCTTTATTTGTAATGAGCTTTTATAAAATATAATAGTTGCCTATTATTTAATAGATATTACAAAAGAAAAGGGGGCTTGAAAGAGATGATTAAGTTTGAAGTAGAAATAGATGATGACTGTAAAGAAGATTTTAAGTTACTATCAAGATACATATCTACAGCTATATCTATAACTATATCAATATCTATAGACAGATTGAAGAGAATGTTAATAACTATATATTTATCTGTATATGTATCTAGTTTAGTTAACATAATCCACCTCTTCTCCATTGGTGAAAACTTGAGTAAGAAGGAAAGAAACATTTGGAAAGTAAGAGGAAAATAAACAACCAGAAACAACGGAAAATGGCTATCATGAAATGATAAACCTTGAAAAAGCTTTACATGGGAAAATTTAGAAAACCATATCATAATACTTACTACAATAGACATGAAATATTTTTCTATAGTAGGTATTGTGAGCATCTCATAGCATAGGCCAAATGGTCGGAGGAGAGCACAAATCACTGGAACCGATAGATTCTTGCCAGATTGGAATCTTTCTAGGAGAATCTGGAAGCCTCCATGTTTGCCAAAGAGGTTGATAAGATCTACCAGCCAACCCCTAGGATTCCTAGGGTCAGGAGGCCGAGCAAATAGCTCAGAGTCTGGAATCTGGGACCCCTGAGGTACTGTCTCCGAGGGGCGGGTTCCATTGAAGGTGTGGAACCTGGAAGAATGTTTGCATAAAGAAAAGGAAACAAGCAAACCAACCAATGATTACTAAGAACAAACTCTGCAAACGCGCACAATCAATGTAAATATAATTACGTCAACAAAATATTCACAATGATAAGCCAAGCTTCTTCCCCAGAATTATGGTTTCTTGACTTACTTGGAATTAGGATTGAGCACCATTGCAAGCAGATCAAGTAAAGGAAACCAGTCTTGGTGCAGTTTTACTACCACCAGTTCAATTAATTTTTCACAGTTCTTGAGAATACACCTCTGCAAAGATAAACATGGCAATTAATATAATTTTAATGATGAGAGTGAAATTCTAGTAATATAGAATTCTTTTTAATTTCAAATCTGAAAACAACAATAATAATAATAACAACAATATCAACAATAATAATGATAATATTGATTATAATACTTACATGAATTTCAAATTTCCAACTATTAACTGCTTCATCCGTAAGAATTTTGGTGAATGAGATAGTAAGACCCTCACGGAAGAACCTCTGGCATGCTTCACTTCTTGTGTCCAAACCTAATAAAAATTGATTATATATCTTATACCTCACACTAAAATCAATTCACTTAAAGGAATGAATAATACAGGCTGGTTTATAACTTCTCTTTCAGTTCATTTTCAAACAAACATGAATGGTGCAAAATAAATCAAGCACTTGAGTTTAATACCAATACTAAATTCTATACTTAAGCAATGAATTTCTTGAACACACACAGGAGACATGACTCAAAAACAAATACTTACCACGGGTGCACAGATCAATGGAGGCATCTAAGAGGAGCTCCAACTCACACTTTGGCAAGACTGGTACAACCCATCTTTGCCGATGGATCATCTCATCTAGCCGAGCCAAGGCAGCCAGTGGAAAGTCTGGTTCACCTGCTCCCATTTCCTCCCCTTCCCCCTCACCCAGCACTTCTCCATCCCCTCCCTGCAAATTGTGAGCATTGTTTATAATGTTGACACAATTACTGAAATCAATAATTCTCTAGAATATTCAAATCCCATGTTATGCACACAGCATCCTGGTTTGATAAACAGATACATTTTTTAAAAGCCTCAACTTGATATTTCTGACTGATATGCAATTATTTGTAAGTTTCTTCCTCTACTAAGCATAAAAATACAAAATATATTCATACCTGAGGTGGGGTATTAGGTGGGCCCTCCTGTGGGTCCTGATTGGCTATCATTGCGATGGTCATAGCGCTGTCGTGCGGCACCGGCGCGGCCCTTTTCCCTCACCCAGTGGCGCGACCAGATGCCACAGTCCTAACCATACATCCACTCTGCCCTATGAGGAACAAACAATATCATAAATAATTTACATAATTAAAATTTTAAAATGCCTTTTCTCCTAAATAAGAATGAATAACTATTCCAATACTATTAAAGCTAAAGGTACAGTAAATATATTAATATGAATTCTTACATATCATTCACTCACATAATTTTGGAAGATACATAAAAATCATTACTTTCAAAAAAGTTATTACCTAGGTAATGCTTAACCCTTTGCCGCCGGGTGGCATGTTTGTATATCCATGGTATGCCTGGACTATATTCCAGGTGGCACATGCATTCATGCCATGGTGCATTGTTCCTGTTTACCGGAGGCATGTACAGTCATTCTGCACATGCTATTTTTCTGACACAATCCCCAGCAACAGGGCCCGGGCCACTATGAATACAGCCTGGGAGAGAGGGCTTCCGCATCAGGAAACCACCCAGCAGCATTGGTTTAACATACGCAACTTACTAGATTTACAAAATTATTGTCAACTTAAAATGTAACATATAAAAGTTAATGTCAACACCATCTTCATGAATCTGAAGGAAGGAAGGAAAGAGGAAAGGAAGAAAAAAGAAAGAAATAAAAAGAAAAAAAAAGAAAAGAAAAAAATATCACTAAACAGTTATAACAGAGGAGGAATGAATGTATTAATTTCCAGTTTCATTAATCGCTTGGAACCGGGTGAATCACGGCAATCACAGGCAATGGGATTATGTGAGCAGACACTCTGCCAGGTGCATGACATGTGGGCTAGGCATACACAAACATTTATGTGCGGCAACAAGACTTCATGACTGAAGATATTACTAAATGTTCATTTTTCAACCTTTTTAGACATCCAATTTTCCTGAAGGCCCCAAATTCCACTCAGAGATTATTCATTACTAAATCAGGGGGACACAATCTCCCATTTCTAATTCAGTAAAAATGCAATGAAAATCAATATTGAAGTGAAAGGAAACACGACAGAGGCTAATATGATGAAAGTTGCCACATATATACAGTAATTCTGAAGTAAAAAGTATGGACTACAAACGAAGGCATGCACATCCTAAGGTGTTCTCACATAGTTAAAGGGTATCATGGTATCAAATGAGTCAAGAAATTTTAACATACTTAAAAACATACAGAAATATCATTACCTAGGAATAAATCCTTTATCCTATTTTATTTTCAGCTACTGCAACCTGATCATAAACATATCTTTAGTATGCTGCAACTTTCAGACCTGTACAGACACTAAAACTAAGAGCATCATGGAGACAAGGATGACGAACAAAGTGAAAAGAACCATCTATGAATCTGAACATGGTAAGCCTTCTGATGCTTGTGCATGTATATATTACAGGATAATCAGTGCACAAAGTTTACAGATCAATAACTTCTAAGACTATATATATATTTTCTTTATTAAGGTTAGTTGGCCTTTGCCAAAGTGCCAAAGGTACATAGGCAAAAGCAAACGCTTAACAAAGTCCATCACAAAATGTGTGCCACAACTGCAATTCCTTGTGATACATACTTTCCTAATTACTATTACATATACTATTATATATATATATATATATATATATATATATATATATATATATATATATATATATATACAATATGACATATCAACTACGACAGAAATGAAGGACAAATTCATCAATAGCATGATAAAAAATATCAAAGCCATGTTTAAATTACATTCATTTTTTCCATGGGTGCAGGGTAAAGCAATGTTTTATTCTATAAATTTTATATACTCATTGATGATTTACAACTCTTTAGTCACCCTTTAGTCACTTGTGATTGTTATTCTTATTAATATTATCATTATTTTGATGGTGAAAGGACTAACAACGAAAAAAGAAAGAAAGAAAGAAAAAGAAAAAACTGTAAACATATGAAATTATATTAGTTTCCTGGGAACATTTCCTTCTGTTGCCATGGCTGAAATGTTAACATAAAAGCAAACTCTATTTATATTACAATATTCAGAAAAGAACTCAACATCTCTAAGCTGCCTCATATCCAGTAACTTATATAATCATTTTAAATATAACATAATATAATATAAATATAATACATATATATACACACACACACCCAAAGATATTTGACATATAAAGAAACCATTACCAAATTCTTATTTACTACTTGCTTAATGACAAGCCCACCTAATATGTCCAAATTAACCCATTGCCAACAGGCATGCCATGCCCTGCCCACTGAGATTATTTGTTGGATTGTTTTAACACATAGATGGCTACACTTGTACTAAATCACCAATGAGCCAGTTACGAGTACCGCCTGTCTCACCTGTTCACCCTCTTTGATTTACGAAATATATTACATTCTCTTATTTTGCTGTTACTAATGTTAAAAAACATTATAAAAATTATAATGTTTATAATAAAAATAACACCATCAATATTCATGGCACTAGTGAAAAATACATTTTTCCCACCATTTCAAATCAGGTGCTAACAGAGCCATCTATGGGCAGACATTTAACAAAAAAGTATAGAAAATAGGCACAGCATTTCCCCCATTTTTTTTTTTCATTTTCCCCGGCAGCAATGGGTTAATTACATTTTACATAGCTTAATATCAATAAAACTTTTCACTTTCCAAACCTGCACAAGCTTGATCAAATACTAATGCATTTTAAGCAGGGAATTTTCTTGTGTAAAATCTCGTCTTTTTCTTGCTATCTGAACACTGTCTTGCTTTCTCAAGTTACTCCCATTGATGGCTAGACTTTCCCTTGCCAAGTCCAGCAGTGTACTGTCACCATGGCAACAGCATAGTTTACGTACCATAGTGGTAACTTTGAATGTAGGCGTTGGCTAAGAACTCTGCTTAATATTTCATAAGAGGAATATACTTTCATGGTTTGTTTCTATAATTTCTACAACAATAGAGTTAAAGCAATTGAAATTTATTGCAAATGAAATTATTATGGGAATGACAAGAGGGTTTTCTTATAAATCATAAATCATAAGAACACAAATAATTTAGCTCTCACTTTTAAACTCCTTGTCTCTCCAAACGAAGAATATACCTAATATTCAATAAAATTGAGAATATTTTAAGTGAAAAAGTATGAACTGAAAAAACTATGATATAGAAAAATAATAATCAAGAACAAAAATAATAATGGTCAGTAATAAGAAAGTAATCCACAATAGTTGATGACACTACAGTTGGCACTCTGGCAAAGGCTGTTAACATCTCTTCATATATTCCAATGTCTACCATTGGTCCCCATCTTAACGAGATAACAATTCCACCAGTGAGAGATCTACAAACATTATCTTGTCAGGAACATGTTTGTTGGCCTTTGCTACAGCCTCACTTGTATCACTGCTTGAATGCTCTTTGATGGCAGTGAGCCAGTCTATTTCACTGCACAGATTAATTTAAAGAGCATCTTTTGTTATTCAAATATCAAAAGAAACTAGTGTTTATTTTTTCATCCTTTCAATGTTGTAACTCCCTGTTCAGTTGACCATTGAGTGCCTGTTGCATCTTCTATTTTTTCAATATATAGATATGGAAAGTTTTTCTCATTATTCTGATGATCATAATTTAAATTATGAAAATTGTACTCATCATATATATTCATAGCTTGACATATGCAGGAATTAACAATAATAAATGCCTTAATACTGCATTTACGTTATTGAATACTGAAGTATTTGCCATTGGTAAATCTAGGGCAGATAAGAGTAATATATTTATATCGATCTCTATCTTTCCATCTATCCATCTATCTTTCTACATAAATTTAGCATATGATAAGCAAGTAAGATTATATCATAACAGAAATTATTATGGGACTAGTTATACTAAAAAAAAAAAATTAAACAAATCACTTGAATTTTATGTAAAGAAAAGACTTTTCTTACTCTATGTCATACATTACATACTGTCAGTGTTCGGCATCCTACAGAAAATATATATATATATATATTGTCATTCATTTCAGTCAATTAATATATTATCTATTACTAATTAATCCCTGACATTTTATTCACTTTTAAAAAAACTTTGATTTCTTTTTGCTATGATGAATTCAGTTATTAACGGTTATCATCATCATTTTCTCTATTGTCATTACCATTATCATATTCTTCTAACATTCTTCTGTTGATGTTATATCCATATTAAGCTTTGTAAAGATGTTAGGGTAGATCTATTGAATTAAAACATTTCTTGTGGAAGATACTTGAGTTAAGCATAGACATTTTCAAGGCTTGAATGCTTAATAGAGCCATTCATGCAAATCAGGCTTTAGTGATTGCTTTAAGCATTGAGTGGTGTAGTTCTTGATCAACCGAATCCCTGCTTAAAACACTGCTAGTTAAATTACATAATTTCATAGTTCAGATATTACCCACAAAAATACCTCTAGATTAACCTTTAGTGACTCATGTTGTCAACAGGTAGATATTTCTTTCTTATAGGTGAACTCTTACTTTTAACAACAAAGGTCTTACAAATAGGGTATATATCTATGATAATGTTTGTGTATTTTACTGTATTTTCAACACTACAATAGTCTGAAAACTTTCAGTACTCATAACATTATGGGTATCATATCCTGTACTAGGTATGAAGTCAAATTATCTTCATGTTCATTCTGAATGAAACTATTGATAAGATGAGGTTTAAAAATTTCTTATCTTTAGAACAATATATTCATAACCTTATCTATTCGTGACAAACAATAAGTGAACAGTGCTGTAATAGTGATCAAATTGTCAACTGCGACTCAGAAGTCCACAAATTAAACTCCAGAATGCCAACATACAACCAAGTCACCTCAAAGCCAGGCTATTTTCAGTGAAACAATCATTACCAATGATTTTCTTAACATTACAATGACGGTGCCATATTCCCTATACTACTGGCATCCGTCAAGCCTTTTCGCCTGGGTGTTCCCTGTGTACAGCTGGCCCTGACTGCTCACCTCACCAGTGTGAGTCAAGATGCCTATAGCTGTATCT